TAAGTAAGTTAAGTACAGGTCAATTAAATATCTGAGGAGTACCTCTAAACTTCCATTTACAGCTTTTGCTTTTGTGAGTAAAAAAAAGTTAAGTAGAGGTCAGTTAAATATTTGAGGAGGAGTACCTCTGAACTTTAATTTAAAGTTTTTTTTGTGATTAAAGAAATTAAGTATAGGTCAGCCAAATATCTGAGGAGTGCCTCTGAACTAATTGCTTTTATTTTGTCTGCTTAGCACAAATTTAGTGAAATCTTTTGAAATATTAAATATAGTATAATTGTTAGCATCGTGCAACCTTTATGTTTTATAAATGTGGTCTGGTAAATGGTAAGAGGAATCCGAGGATTCACAATTACAGAAAAAAATCGGTAAGTTGTACTATCCTGGATGGGCGGTGTTAGCAAGTAATTCTTTTGTTTTTGGTTTTTTCTTTGTTTTGTTGCCTAAATGATATATTAACTGCCCGAGACCTACTAGATGACTTGCTTTTTAACCACGCGATGGCAGGTGGTAAGCATTTCGTGACTAGTAGAGTGAAAAATGCTGGACGGATATTGTTGAAATCCGAGGAGCATAGCTTTTATTTTAGATGATTTAAAATTGGAAAATGCTGGACGGATATTGTTGAAACCCGAGGAGCATAGCTTTTCTTTTAAATGATTTAAAATTGAAAAATGCTGGATGGATATTGTTGAAATCCGAGCAGCATAGTTTTTATTTTGAAATTATTTTAAACATATTAATTGAAAAATGTCGGACGGATATTCTTGATATCCAAAGAGCAGATTGTGTTTTAAAAATTATTTAAAAATCTTGAATAAAGTGTTATAAATTATAAGACATGGGGTGTTGTGTCACTTATTTAAAAATGCAAGGTTTTGCCTCGTCTCAGAATGTGCCGAGAGAATGAGCAGAAAACTTTTTCGAAATAATTGGCGTGGAAAGAATTTGGCGGCTGATCTTGTAATTTTGTTATTTTACTCGAGACGTCTTTTCTTTTTGTTTAATATTTTTATAATTTAAAATAATACAAATTAATAACCAGTCGTTACATAAAAAAAAAGAGAATATTTCGAGAGCGAAATATAGATCAGTATGGCTCTGAATAGTTTTCTTAAGAATTTTAAAACCTTTCTTAGCTCTTTTGGTATATTCCATGCATATCTTTAAGTTCATTTTGTTTAAACCTAAAATAAATTAAGTACAAAATATGAAAATTTAAACATCACACAAAATTAGTCTATTAAATTAGTTTAAAAAAAAGCGTCAACAAAAAAATGGCTTTGCCTTTTTCCTTAAACATTATCTTTGAAAGAAACTTAAGTTTCTCTACTTCACTTGTTGTTTTAATATTTTAGTAGCAGATGAGTATCGTGTGGAAGTAGTAACAGGATTGATTATTATACTTCTCTCGTCGAAATTTACTGAAATTGCATTTTTCTTTAATATTTTCCTCCCCAGATGTCTGTAATAAAAATATTCATTAGCATAAAAAGTTATTCAGGTGGTCACTTGTTGAATTCCTAAATTTTGGAACCATGTATTTCTTTTTATCATATCAAGAAAAGGAAACCTAAAAAGAAATAACAATAAACTTTACAATAATAATAATAATAATAAGTGGGGGGTGGGTGGCTCAGTGTCTGCCTGTGGATCCAAGGGTCCCAGGTTCGAATCCCACCGTTGGCCGGAATTTTTTCATTTAATTTAATTATTTAAAATTAATTCTGATGCCTTGGTAGGATTCCCCACTCGACCATTCACTGTTGGGTTCTAATTAACAGTGCTGTTCCTAAAGTGGCGCTGGGAAACAGTAACAAAGCCTACACAGAACACGAGGCGAAATAACCTTAGCAGTTGAAGCCGATGACACACCAAAAAAAAAAAATATAAGTAATTAACCTTTACTACAATCATTATGAGACGAATCAAGACGAACTTAGCTGGGGTTTACTTGCTCTTAATTTTACTTTTTCGATAAGAACATAAGAAAGTTTTATTGCAAATTAAAGGTGATTGCCTAATGCACCGCCTCTGATAATTAGGTTGTGTCTGTACTTACCTATGATATTATCTTGAAGAATCGTTTTCAACAGGCCTTTTACACATAAAGCATGTTTTCATCAAATAATTATATTTTCCGTAAATACAAATAAAAAATTGACATTTGTCAGAAAGTTTCAGAACTGGCGCTGTCAAACTTGGCAACGCTGATTAAATAAGCCAATTACAGTAGAGTAGATACTGCTAACAAAATTTAGCGCTGGAAAGGGGGGAAGACTCCCTGTAGTAGTAATTGGTCGGAGCATGTCAAAGTTATATAATCAAAGACAAAATTTCAAATACTGAATGCAAGAAATGTTACTAGTTTGCAAAAGTTTAGCTACATTACCTAAAGCTGGATGTTAATAGCAAAACGAGATGGATCTATTGATAATTGAACTTATCAGTTGTGCATACAAGAAAGAAGTAACACGATAAATATAATCAAGAGGTTTCGTTGTTATTATAACTTACTTGAAGACGGACCAAGCTGAGAAATGAATAAAATAGGAATTCCTTCTAGCTTTAAATTTATCTTTCCCGGCGAAATTCATAACAAAATCATAATTTATAAAATGTTTCCAATATATTTTATTATTTTTGTTAATTTTATAAACTTCGACCGTTCCTATTTTTGGGTTTTGAATCCAAATTTCCATTGCTGCAAGGTATGTTGGAAATCAACATAAAAAATTACTAATATTCTACTATATGTATATATTTGCGCCGCTTAGGTTTTTTGTTTACTTGCCTTCATTGAAACATAATTTTCAAGATTAAATTCGCAAAAGTTGTAGTAATTCTTCCCTTTCATAATTAATGAGTTCTTTATTCGACCCATATTTTACATTACGGCTTTATTTTCAATTATTTTCACATATTTCCCCATTATTTGGCTCTTCCTCGCATTTTCCTTCTTCTAAATCATCTGGTTAATCAAATTTTATCGGATAGTAGGTTTTTTTCACTTTCTTTTAAATTGTTCTTCATTATATGTTAATCTTCCATCATTATTGCAAACCATTCATTAATAATTTTTATATAACTGCCATTTAAAGTGACACAATCAATAGATTTTGTTGTTATTATAACTTACTTGAAGACCGACCTCACGGACCAAGTTGAGAAATGAATAAAATAGGAATTGCTTCTAGCTTTAAATTTATCTTTCGCGGCGGAATTCATAACAAAATCATAATTTATAAAAAATTTCCAATATATTTTATTATTTTTGTTAATTTTATATACTTCGACCGTTCCTATTTTTGGGTTTTGAATCTAAATTTCCATTGCTTCAAGGTATGTTGGAAATCAGCATAAAAAATTACTAATATTCTACTATATTTGCAACGCTTTGGTTTTTTGTTTACTTACCTTTATCCAAATATAATTTTCAAGATTAAATTCGCAAAAGTTATAGTAATTCTTCCCTTTTACAATTAATGAGTTCTTTATTCGACCCATATTTTACATTACGGCTTTATTTTCATTTAATTTCTCTTATTTCCCCATTATTTGGCTCTTCCTCACATTTTCCTTCTTTTAAATCATCTGGTTAATCAAATTTTATCGGTTAGTAGGTTTCTTTCACTTTCCTCTAAATTGTTCTTCATTATAAGTTAAACTTCCATCATTATTGCAGACCATTCATTAATAATTTTTATGTAACTGTCATTTAAAGTGACACAACCAAGAGGTTTTGTTGTTGTTGTTATTATAACTTACTTGAAATATTATTCGGTTTACAAAAGTCTGTGGCAACAAAAACTACGTTTAGATGCCAATGCTTCTAGCTTTAAATTCATCTTTTCCGGCGAAATTCATAACAAAATCATAATTTATAAAATGTTTCCAATATATTTTAGTGTTTTTATTAATTTTATAAACTTCAACCGTTCTTATTTTTGGGTTTTTAATCCAAGTTTCCATTGCTTCAAGGTATATTTGTTGGAACTCAGCATAAAATATTACTAATATTCTACTGCAGGTTTTTTTGTTACTCGCCTACCTTTGAAATGACGTAGAATTTTTAAAAACAGTCTGAAACATAATTTTCAGGATTAAATTCACCAAAGTTGTAGTTCTTTCGTTTCATAATTAATGAGCTCTTTATTTGATCCATATTTTACATTACGGCTTTTATTTTCATTTAATTTCCCTATTATTTGGCCCTTCCTCGCATTTTTCTTCTTCTAAAATATCTGGTTAATCAAATTTTATCGGTTAGTAGGTTTCTTTCGCTTTTCTCTAGATTTTTCTTCATTATATGTTAATCTTCCATCATTATTGCAGACCATTCATTAATATAACTGTCATTTAAAGTGACACTTTTAGCAACAGTTTTCAATTTTAAAAGCTGACGTTTAGAAAGAAGGTTCTAAAAATAATTTTAGCATTTAAACCATTGATAGCAAATTTGGTGATTATTAGAAGGACAAAAATTATGGTAAAATCAGTAAATAATATATTTTTTATTTTTATCAATTATTAACATTAACTACTTATAATAATTGTGCAAATATTAACATTATACACTTGCTACGTTAAGAAGCATCAAAAAACACTACTTGGGGTGTTAATTTCATTATAACTAGCTTGAACTGATGTTTCTGGGAGAATTGTTTCCGCAATAACCTTTTTTAGGCAATAAGTTATTCTGGTTCTCCGACAATCTTAATTGCTTTTACGCACACTGTCTAGCGCAGTATCAAATCCGTTTTCATTTAAATACAACCCAGTTATACTACAGATATCGATCGTTCGTTTCATCTATTATTACAAGGAAATGTACCTCTCCTAAACACTAGCCACCATGATTAATGACCCCACAGACAGACCTATACAAAAAAAAGATCATAGTTATGTTATTGTACTGTCACTGCCGCTACATCATATCAAAAGCAAAAGCAAGCAAAAGTGTTTTAAAATCTAAACTAATTCGAATTTCTGTGTTACAGACTACGTCGTCTCCGACCAGGCCCAATCAGCGCAGAGGATTCAGCCACGTGATACACGCCGAGGTTATAAAAAGAGTAACCCCGCCAGTAGTCGGTCTCTTTTCCACAGTAACTAAAAACGGAAATAAGTGTTCAGTGCTGTCTATCGTACGGACAACGTTAGGGTTCAGAATGCCAGAGACAACATTGACAAACGGACATGCAAACGCCAATGGACATTCAGGGTATGAAATGGCCGACGGTGCCGAATTCCTGTTCACGTCAGAATCAGTCGGCGAGGGTCATCCAGGTTAGTCCTTAACATCCTTGTAATTCGGCTTAAAATGGCGGTAGGGTTACGTTATAACTCCATTATCGCTGTTAATTTTGGCGGCGCCACAGCCTTAACATTAACCCAATTCTACTGTTCACTGTTTAATTACTTTCTTAACAATATTTCCCGAAAAAATAAACATTAAACCAATCTTATATACCCACCACGTGTTCCGGATTTTAACACCGAACGGGTAAAGGGAGAATTTGTTTTGACATTTAGCAGTCAATACTTTTCCCTCCAATGTCAAGTCAATGTTGACCATTTATTTTGTTTACAAATAGAATTTTAGCAGTTTAACGCAATGTGCACCTGTATTAACATTACCTGAGTTCTACCATTCACTGTTTAAATTACTTTTAACAATATAACCAACCACGTGTTCCGGATTTTAACTCTAATATGCACCAAACGTGCAAAGGAAAAGGGTGAATTTGTTTTGACATTTCAACATCAATACTTCTCCCTCCCAACCCAAATCAATATTGTGCCTCTATTTTGTTTACAAATAGAATTTTAGCAACGGTGACGTAACGATGCGTATTTCGTAATGGGAAATACGTTGCAACAACGTGGTTTTTTATAATCGATGTAGTATTGTAGGTATCGATATTGTGAATTAGATTGTATCGCAATTGCGTGGGTATGAGGATAAATAAGATAAGGATGTTTACTTTGGGTGCATGTGAATTATAACCTCACTTTTTAACGTTTCTGATTTGAGTCGCGAGTTGTTTGACTTGTTTGTTGTTTGTCTTCATAGTTAAACTGAGCGGAAATTATACTACGCATTATTGATTTGTTACTTTATTGTTTTAAAAAATAAATTTAATCTCAACACCGAGTTAGTAAAGAAAAAAAGAAAAGGTTTATACTCATATAAGGTATTTTCCTTTGCATCGACAGTGTAGCACTGAGCTACGTTACTTCTGAAAATGTCGTTCCATCCATACAATTTGTATAAATGGAACGATATATGTGCTACACTTTCGATGCAAAGGAAAAGACCTAATGTGTATTGGTTATTGCGTGAATTTATGAAAAGGGTTAGTATACTGACGTCACAAGTGACAATCGCTTAAACGAAGTGGTTGTAAGTTTGTTTTTTTTTTCAAATGTCAATTCTATTTAACCTATCTTTTTAGCCGTGTTTATGATTTTTGTTTAAACTATATTGTTTATTGTCCTGCCAGAAAGAATAAGATCCAAAGAAGAAATTAGTCTCTGTAGTCTTTCCCTTTGCAATTTTTACTCATCCAATAATCTTCTACCATTTTTGAATATGATTTTAATGTTTAAAAAAGGAACAAAATCGGGTTTAGTATACCTTATTTGTATAGTACTAGTCGGTACAAAACACGCACTCCAGTTGTAACTGTCAATTACCTATAATCAAAAACAGTTCTGGAAGAAGGTAAATACCGCAAAATTTTAGTTATAACTTTGATGAAAACAACTGATTTATGACGTCACGAATATATTACCAAATAAATAACCGAAGTCACTTGAATGGTGTAGTAATTACCTACCAATCTCAAATGATAAATACCAAATGCTTTTGGTTATTCGCTTAAAATTGATTCTAATTTGTCGGTTTAGAAACATTTGAAATGTTACTAGAAACTTCAAAAACTTTAAGAAAAACAATAATATTGAACTAAAACGTGCAAAAAATGACAGTGTTATTATATAACCAAGGCAGATGCCAAAACCAAACAAGTTTGCATTTGATATTGGTAATCTTTGTAAGAAACAAATCAAAACAAAAAGCCGGTATTGAAAATCTAACCTCAAATAACTTAACAATCTTTTTTCAAATATGGCGGAAAATATTACAGTTACAGTCTTTACTTACCGGTTATAATTTATTATTTTAAAACATTTCCAACTCCCTTCTCATCATTGTTTTTTTCTTCAGTTTAAAAAGAAGGGGTTCTTGTTATTGTCAGAACTCTTAAAAGTTCGCCATGTCCAGATATTCATAAGATTAATGCTAAGCTTATAAAAGAAACAATTGAAATTTATTATTATTAAATCTGTTATTGATAAATATCGTCAATTCAATTTTAAATAATTTTCCAAAATGCGCGGTTCCGCGGAAAAACATTACAGATATATTTTTTTAGTACATTAATATCATTGAAAAACACAATAGATCATTACATACACTACATACATCATTTCCTCTAAATATGTTTTTAGGTCTTTAAAAATATGCGGTTCCGCGGAAAAACCTCACTTTATCAAAATGACAAAAATCAATATTTAGCACGAAAATCCAGGTATAATTTTTACGCCAAATGATTCAGTACATTAGTATTATTCAAAACACAATAAATCATTACATAGCAAGACCTCTAAATACGTTTTTAAGTCTATGATAATACGCTATTCCGCTAATAAACATTACTCTTTCAGAATAAAAAAAGAAACAATATTTAGCACGAAAATGCAGATATAATTTATAGTACGAATCATTAAGTGCATTAGTATCATTCAAAAACACAATAAATTATTACATAGTAAGATCTCTAAATACGTTTTTTAGGTCTTTAAAAATGGGCGGATCCGCGGATAAACATTACTTTATCAAAATGACCAAAATTAATATTTTGCACGAAAATCCAAGTATAATTTTTACGACAAATGATTTAGAACATTAGTATTATTCAAAAACACAATACATTATTATATACCAAGACCTCTAAATACGTTTTTTAGGTCTTTTAAAGTGGGCGGTTCCGCGGATAAACATTACTTTATCAAACTGACAAAAACCAATATTTACATTAGTATTATTCAAAAATACCAAAAATAATTACATAGTAAGACCTCTAAATACGTTTTTATGTCTATGAAAATACGCTATTCCGCTAATAAACATTACTCTTTTAGAATAAAAAAAAAACAATACTTAGCACGAAAAACCAGATATAATTTATAGTACGAATCATTCAGTGCATTAGTATCATTCAAAAACACAATGATTCATTACATAGCAAGACCTCTAAATATGTTTTTAGGTCTTTAAAAATACGCGGTTCCGCGGAAAACCCTCACTTTATCAAAATGACAAAATTCAATATTTAGCACGAATTATCCAGGTATAATTTTTACGACAAATAATTAAGTACATTAGTATTATTCAAAAACACAATAAATCATTACATAGCAAGACCTCTAAATACGTTTTTAAGTCTATGATATACGCTATTCCGCTAATAAACATTACTCTTTCAGAATAAAAAAAGAAACAATATTTAGCACGAAAATGCAGATTTAATTTATAGTACGAATCATTAAGTGCATTAGTATCATTCAAAAACACAATAAATCATTACATAGTAAGATCTCCAAATACGTTTTTTAGGTCTTTAAAAATGGGCGGTTCCGCGGATAAACATTACTTTATCAAAATGACCAAAATTAATATTTTGCACGAAAATCCAAGTATCATTTTTACGACAAATAATTTAGAACATTAGTATTATTCAAAAACACAATACATTATTATATACCAAGACCTCTAAATACGTTTTTTAGGTCTTTTAAAGTGGGCGGTTCCGCAGATAAACATTACTTTATCAAAACTACAAAAACCAATATTTAAATTAGTATTATTCAAAAACACAAAAAATTATTACATAGCAAGACCTCTAAATACGTTTTTATGTCTATAAAAATACGCTATTCCGCTAATAAACATTACTCTTTTAGAATAAAAAAAAAAAACAATACTCAGCACGAAAAACTAGATATAATTTATAGTACGAATCATTCAGTGCATTAATATCATTCAAAAACACAATGATTCATTACATAGCAAGACCTCTAAATATGTTTTTAGGTCTTTAAAAATATGCGGTTCCGCGGAAAAACCTCACTTTATCAAAATGACAAAAATCAATATTTAGCACGAAAATCTAGGTATAATTTTTACGACAAATGATTCAGTACATTAGTATTATTCAAAAACACAATAAATCATTACATAGCAAGACCTCTAAATACGTTTTTAAGTCTATGATAATACGCTATTCCGCTAATAAACATTACTCTTCCAGAATAAAAAAAAAATATTTAGCACGAAAATGCAGATATAATTTATAGTACGAATCATTAAGTGCATTAGTATCATTCAAAAACACAATAAATCATTACATAGTAAGATCTCTAAATACGTTTTTTAGGTCTTTAAAAATGGGCGGATCCGCGGATAAACATTACTTTATCAAAATGACCAAAATTAATATTTTGCACGAAAATCCAAGTATAATTTTTACGACAAATGATTTAGAACATTAGTATTATTCAAAAACACAATACATTAAAATATACCAAGACTTCTAGATACGTTTTTAGATCTTTTAAAGTGGGCGGTTCCGCAGATAAACATTACTTTATCAAAATGACAAAAACCAAGTACCTATCTAACAAGTACCGAAATGCCTTATTTTGTGTAACGAGTTACACAAAACGACATTTCGTAACGTGTTACGTACAAGATTTGTTCTAATTTTGGCTTGATTATTTATAAAATTGTGTTTGGTTAAAAAATGTTTTTTTTTTCAATAGTAATAATAAAAATAAGGGACATGTGCAGTATTGCCGATCTGATTTTTTACATTACCCAGGGGAAATAAAAAAAAAACGTATTTAACCGTTATCCTTAACGGAGTACGTCAAAATTTTACCCTCAACATTTCTGGACATTAAAAATATATCGCAATTTACATCTTTTATTTTTTTGTTTTCTTTTTTTGTTGTTAAATGTAATGTCAAATACTCAAATGTGAGATGTCACTATTCATTGCCTTTTTTCGATTTTTGGTTTTTCGATTTTTAGTTTTTTCGATTTTTGGTTTTTCTCGATACTTCAATTTTTCTATTTAAAAATCAAAAAAATTCGTAATCAGTTGCATAATGTTCTACTTTATGCAACTAGTTGCATAAAGTAGATTATTTTGACACTTGCTGCGATTACAAAATATGTTAATTTATATGTTAAAATTAGAAGCAAAAAAATAAACATAATCTATACTTTGTGCATATATAGCGAAATCACAATGTCATTATAAGTAAGGTCAGAACCGAATTTTGACTCCAAATTGTGTGATTTTTACAAGAGAAACCAATCCTTTTGAAAATAAATATAAATTGTTAAGCAATTTTCAAAATTTTTATAGTTAGGAGGCGTAGAGATATCGAAAAAACAACACCATTTTGAATTTTCCTTTCAAAAAAGCAATGATTTCCGTTATTTAATCTTTTAAACCTCTCCTCGTACATATGCGTTAAGTGTTAACTTACACGACTAGATTTTTTACACGCTTGGTTGCTCACGGTCATCTAATTATATGCGTTCTAAATCGAGAACCCTTAACTCTCTTAAGCAATGTCATGTGCAGAAACACGTTAAATTAACATACATTCGATTACTTTATAATAAATACGGAAAATGATGTAATATGTTACCGTTATGTTGTCCCTTTTTAAAAGTTTTTTTGTGTAATTTTTACTTATTCTTCTCAAACCTTACCTTGAAAATAAAATACAATTCATAAAAATTTGATGTGTCCAACACATAACTTTCCTATCTAGTTATTACAGGCTTTTTCCGGTTATTTTGTACAATCTATTGTTTCACCTCTGTAAATATTTAGAGAATAAACTAAATATATACATGTTCCACATACATTTTTTTATATATATTTATAGTCATTGCCAACGGAAATTCTGAAAAATTTTAATTTTACACTTTTCCTCAAATTTTTCCATTACGGTCCATTTTAGAGAAATCATGTATAAAACAAATATTATAGAGATCGATTTTGCAAACACGTTTTGTCAAATTTCTCGAATAAAGACCATTTTAGGAAAATTTTGTGAGGCAAAAATTATAGGAGTAACTTTTATTTGAATAATTTTCTTCTCTAAACGTAAATAACAGATATATTCCATAAAATATAAAAATTACCCTCTATAAAGTACCCCCCAGATGTTCCAACTCTGCCCAAAATCTAATTAAATCAACTCAGGCCTGTATTTTTTTTCTCTCCTGGGCTCGTCTGACTATGTCTCTGAATAACACTGAAGCCTATTGGCTTATTGTGTTTTACCCCATGTTAGTTCATAGCACCCACTCTGTCACCTTTGCACCTTGTACAAGTTTAGAGCCTGTCTTTTGCGATCTAGAGCTTCGCATTCGCACAGTATGTATTTATTGTGACATAGACGGCACATGAGTTCCCCACTGTACATGCCAATTTTGTTCAAGTGTCCCTTTACTGGGGCGCGCCCAGTCATGAACCCTGTTATCACTTTCAATTGGTTCCTATTCATAAAGAGTAGTTTTCCAGTTCATTTGGGTCTGCCTATGAAGGCTTTTCCATGTACCTGTTTTGGGGTGCTTCCCCAATAGTTGATGTTGTTCCCGAATCCAGTCGTTTATGAAACCCCGGACTGTACTTTTTGGTACTCCTGGGTTTGTGTCTGGTTCCGGTGTTTCTTCTGACCCTCTTTTGCAAGTTCGTCAGCCTTTTCGTTACCTTCGATCCCTTGGTGACCTGGCACCCAAAATAGTTTTACTCTATTTCGGTCTGCCAGTGTTCTTAGTTCTTCGATGCATTCCCATACCAGCCTCGACGTAACTTTCAGACTCGATATAGCCTTAAGTGCCGCTTGGCTGTCTGACATTATTTTAATATGCTGATTTTCGACAGCTCTTTCATTGTTCGTTTTTTCACATTGCAAAATTGCGTATACCTCGGCCTAAAATACCGAGGAATATATTCCTATAGCATAGCTATGGTTAGTATCAGGGTTTTTGGAGAATACTCCCTTCGCAGTCTTAGACCCGTCTGTATATCAGGTTTGTTCCTGTCGTTGGGCATTGAGCTCCCTTATGGTGATCTCCGCTCTTTCCTTTATTAAAACCTCAAATGGAGTATTAAAAGAGTACCTCTTGGTTATGTGGTCTGATCTCATGTCTTGCACGTCTTCTGTCACTAACCTTGAGATACTCATGTGACCTGGATTAATGTCAAGATTTCCCAGTGTATTCCCTAATCTGTAAGCACCTAATCTTGCCTCCCCTTGTATCACATAGTGAAGAGGTGGGAGGCCTATTAGTGCTTCCATTGCAGCAGTGGGGGTAGGCCTTTATATAGATAGGAAAGTTAAAAATTAGTAAATATCTAAGTGAAGATTAGAATATTATTATTGGTGTACCCCAATGCATAGTCTTGGGACCCGTATTATTTATCATTTACATAAACTCTTCTTATACGTGGCTTTAATTCCAACATTTAATCTTTTGCTGAGGACACTGCGATTGTTTCCTATTCTAATACGTAGACAAAAGTTTAGCAAAATGAAAAAAAAAAAAACCTAATAAAAAATGGTTTGATATGGGTTTTACGATACATTTGGGTAAAACAAAATGTTTGGCATTTTCTTGTAAGACTATTCAATTAAAAATGTAAAATCCATTACTTACTTAGGGGTAAAAATGGAGATATTATATTAAATTCTTGCAAATATTATTATAATACTCTTCACAGACTACTGTGTGAAGAGTATAATAAATTTCCGTCCGTCCGATGTCACGTTTTTTGTTGACACGATAAGTCAAAAACGAAAAATGATATCAACTTGAAAATTTCAGGAAAATCAAGCTCTATAAGATTACGTAGCGTATTGATTTTGAAAAATTTGAATAAAAATGTGGGATTCAGAGGGGTTCAAATATTTTAAAAAAATTCCTAACTTAAGAACGAAATGATGATTTTTAGCAAAAATCCCTAGATTATAACCACCGAGTTTTAAATCGCTACTGTCTTCCTAGCCATGATCTTTTTACGATTTTCAATTTTTTTTTTAAATGCTTACCAGTCACTCGAGTAAATGCTGTAAATACTGACCCTGGGTCTCCATGCAATAATAGAGGTTTTATTCAAAACGTTCTCGGACATTTTAAAGCATCTGTGGGGTGATTTGATGTCATTCGTCAATTATCAGCTGTAGCAGATTTTCCAGTGATGTTGGCTGGGTGGCATAAAATCTATCGGGGTTAGATTCGGAGACCGTGGGAGCTACTCAATATTACCTCTTCTTCCGATCCATTGACCTGGAAACATTTGATCCAAATACTGACGAACAGTGAGTGCAAAATGAGGTGGGAATTTTAAGTTGTTTCCTATGTACTGATCGTCATTCTCAATCAACTCTAGTAATGCTGGGTAAATGGCGTTTTCTAATAATTCCAGATACATTTCTGCTGTTGCGTATGCACTTCATGAAATATTAGAGAATTGAAGTGTTTCCAGTACATTAACGTAAACATGAACGTCAACGCAGAAAAATAATGTTTACGTCCAAGTCCAAAATATGAGTTGTTAAACGCAAAGTGACATTTACGTGCCATGACAGATAATGATAATTATTATCAGAATTTCTTCTTTCCCAATTAAAAATAGGTTATTTTGTTTGCGTTGCGTACATACGCCAGAACCCGTAAGCTCACGTTTGTACGTAGACGCAAACGCGAAGGATATTTAAATGCGCATGCGTAGATGTCAATTTTCACGTATATGTTTACGTTCATAGCATCACTTCAACTCTCTATTCTGGGATTTGAATCGGACCAATAACGACAGTTGTGACGATTTACCGTACCATTTAGGAAAAAGTGTTTTCGTCAGAAAGTGCTGATTATTCATTGCCCGTTCAGTCATAATTTCACAAAATTGTAATCGTCTATCAAAATCGTCTTCGTTAAGTTCTTGTACCAGATGTATTTTGTAGGAATGATTGGAATGAAACTTGTGTTTTTTCAATATCTTCTGATTGCTACTTCTCTTAGGACCAGGTGTTATCGCCAACTATCTTGTACACAATGTGGGTTCTTGAACAACGTCGTAAAATAACCACCTCTATAGCTTCATTTCCCACATCAACTTTTTAACATATGCCCCTTCTACGTTTTCTGTGTAATTTGCATCGATCTTGATCCAGTTATTACCTATTACAAATTAGGTGCAAGTTTTATATGTTTGGAAAAAATTATGGCTTGATTCCCCGATTTTAGACATATTGAGTAGTCTATTATGATGTCTTCCTAAATCGTCTGTCCACCACATTTTTATAGCCTCCTTCTGTTTTGTTCCCGCTATCTCCATTGTACAATTATTATTCTGTCGTTATATAGGTTATGACCCGCAAATTTCTGTTTAAGCACATTTTTTAAACTGTGGTTTAAGTTAGGCTATACAGGTGGTACCGATAAAATTTGGTTCATAGGGCCGACTAAATCTGACCAAAATTGATCGGCTACGAAAAGTAGATGACTCAAAATGGGCTGTTGAATACTGACACACGATCATGTCTGACAAGAATATCGCTTTTATATCAAAACACTCGATAGAATATATAAACACTTGACAGTAATGACATCTAAGGTGGTGTGTAATTAATAATAATCGACTTACAAATTTACCTTATGGAGAGTATCCTTCAATGTTATAAAATCTACTTTTAACAGTAGAGATATCTAGAGACACATGTAGACCATTTTGTTAACCTGTAGGACTTTGAGGAGCTCACAGGCAGCTCCTATATGCCCCTGGAGGATGCACAAAGAGTAGTGAGACCTAAATAATGTTAGATAACTCACTCCCTTCACTTCCAGAAAATAAAGCTTTTGTACGAGGAGAGAAACTTTGTTATTAATAAGACCTCCAAATTTTTTAAATTTTTAACAAACTTGCAAAAATTAACATTATTTTCTTATTTTTTAGATAAAATGTGCGATCAAATCAGTGATGCCATATTAGACGCACATCTCGAACAGGATCCAAATGCCAAAGTTGCTTGCGGTAAGTCCAATGCTTATAAATATTTAATTTAAAAATACTGAAAAAAAAACGAATAAATAAAAATTTATTTTTTGTTGACAGGTGTTAATTTGATAACAAAAACAATAAATTACTGTGTGACGCAGTTGTTGATTCATAATCATACATATATGTATTAAAAATTGTTTAAAAATGAGTTATTTAACAAAAAAAATCACGTTGTTGATTATACAGGGTACTCCATAAGATGACACTTTGTTTTTATTATATCTCTTTGGATAGAGAGAGGTAGTAGTCGTATATCTACAATCCTCCCCTTACACTAATAACATACGAGGATGTATCAGAAAATAACGAGACTGGTGCTATAGTATAACAACGAAACATTTATTTAAAAAAATTCAATAACTATCCTTCGAAGTACTCTCCATTCTGTTGAATACACTTATTCCATGGCTTTATCCACTTATCATAAACTTCTGAGAAACCATTTTTTGATAGTCTGTTTAGTATACCCATCACAGCGTTGTTGAGCTCTAAATCCGACTCAAATATGCTACCTCTCAATTCTTTTTTGACTTCAGGAAACAAATGGAAGTCACATGGAGCAAGGTCAGGAGAGTAGGGGGGATGAACCATAATTTCAACCCCTAATTCTTCAATTGTTCGTTGACAAATCATTGATCTATGAGCCGGAGCATTGTCGTGATGCAGCGTCCAGCCAAAGTCCTGATAAAGCGGCCTTTTTTTCTTTAATTTTGCCTTTAAGGGTCCTCGAAGTACATTAGAATAGTACTCCCCTGTTACTGTATATCCTCTAGGTACAATGTGATCGTAAATAATGCCAAATTTATCAAAAAAAATCAGGTGCATCACTTTACCAGCGCTTTTAGCAGTTTTGGCCTTCTGCGGTCTTGGGCTGCCTTTATGCTTCCATTGCATACTTTGAGACTTCAATTCAGGACCGTAATGATAAAACCAACTTTCGTCACATGTAACCACATTATTTAAAAACTGTGGGTTACGTTGCAATTGCCTTTTCCACTGCTGACAAATTGTCACTCGATTCGCTTTTTGTTCATCGGTCATCACTTTTGGAATCCATCTTGCCGCGATCTTCCGGTACTCTAAATCTTCATGAATAATTTTTTGAGTTGTACCGTAAGACAAATTAACATTGTCAGAAATTCGTTTTATGCCAATCCGGCGATCATTTTGTATCAAGTCGTTAATTTCTGCAATTTTTGTGTCATTTCTCGCAGTTTGTGGTCGACCGAGATGAGGTTCATCTTCAACTGATTCACAACCGTCTTTAAACTTTTTATGCCACTCAAACACTCTACATCGTGATAAACTATTATCTAGATATGCACCTTTAATCATTTCAAAAGTTTCAGTTGGTGTTTTACCCAATCGAACACAAAATTTTATCGCGTATGTTTGCTCCACTTTCATTTTTCGATGGGTACGCAAAACACTGACAATTCAATAATTAATTTGTAATAAATGTCAAAAGTTAAATCAAAGCCTACTTGCGGGGTAGTACATTAAATATAAGGCTTTCATGTCTCATTTTTTGGGTTATAAAATGTTACCTCTGAAAGAAGTTATAGCACCAGTCTCGTTATATACTGATATATCCTCGTATCTACGAATTTGTTATTGTCATAAACATGACCCGTACTAACAAATACAAACAAACACCAACATGATTGATTAAAATTTCAACTCAATCGATAATGTATCTAGTAAAAACCTTTAATTACAATTTTTTGGAATTATGTGCAGTGTTTGCAACAGATTTCCTAACTTTAGGGTTTATAAAAAAAACAATATTTGGTATATTTTTATTTTCTTTTTACAGAAACAGTCACAAAAACAGGAATGATCCTCCTCTGCGGCGAAATAACATCAAAAGCTGTGGTGGACTACCAAAAAGTTGTCAGAGAGACAGTAAAACATATAGGCTACGACGATTCTTCTAAAGGTAATTACTAATTGACTAACTTAAAAAGCTTTCTTTCCGACTTAGCCGAGCACTTGCTTCTTAATACTTTCCAACTTCTTACATGTTTGTAAAGTGGTTTGGTTTTTGTTAGCTTAGATGTTTTTATTTAACTAGTTTTCGCCTAACTGTAGATAGAAATTTTCTGTCAATAATTGGTCCCTTTGGCCAACAAGGTTTGTATCATGTATATGCTGGTAATTATACCTTACAATGAGTTAACAAGGTATAATAGGAACATACACGTATAAGGAGATATAATTATCGCTTGTAACGCATAAATGTGTATATGATGTATTTATAGGTTTCTGTTGAACTTTGTTCATCTCATTGTGACAGTTTCTTGTGGAGAAAATATTGTTAAGGCTAAAAAAAGCACCAAAATCCAAGCGTAGAAGAAATATACAAAAAACCTGTTAGCGATCATATAAAAAAGTGGCACTTACTAAGGAACCTTCCAAATTAATAATCCAAAAATGGTTTCAAAGTTTTTGCTGACATTAACCCTGAGTGCGACTGAATCTTGTTTGGTGAATCTTGTCGCTAGCGTGGGATCATTTTTACCATAGGAAACATTTAGTTCATTAAAGGAAGTACTGTACACATGAATTTGTGATTATATTATTATTTATGTAAAAAAATTCATCGCAATGTTCTTGGGACTCCGACACACCCAGAAATCACCTCTTTTATCCACTCGGCCATATGCAGTTGCCACAAAAGACGAAGAAACCCAAGGATTACCGCTTCCTGCATCTTCATTACAAGTGGTTTTGATGAGTCCCGGTATGCCGGTATTTTTTGTAGCTTCGAGTCCTTGATTCTTCCCACGATACACAGACGAACGGTATGCTGACTTTCTATTCCGTTTGAACTGCGCAATAACGTAGTCCGGGACTGACTTAAAAAGTCATTTTGATTTTGTTCCACTAACAAGAGTAAAGTAATTTAATAATTTATTTGTGTTAGTATAGTGTGACTATATTTTGCTGAACATAACAAAGAAGAACTGAATTAATGTTAAAAATGATGGAATGTACAGTATGATGTATGATATACAGTATGGTGTATGATTTTTGATTTCCACAAAACTTTTAAGAAAATTATAATGACACTTCTATTTGACAAAATTCATCTTGATGAGTCTATATATTAGGAGAAATAAACACTTTCTGATGAAATTATCAATCTTGTGGACAAATTTGAAGTATATTTAGAAAATTTAAAAGGTTCATTGAAGGATATGAAGCTGTTAAATTTAAAAATAAATATCTAACTTTTAAAATACCCAGAAAGCAATTAAAGATTTCAGTGATTGCAAACACTTTCGAATGGTTAATTAATTAACACTGTACAAGATTTATAGGAAGTTTGGCAAAAAATGGAAACTGAATTCCACCAGATGCATGGGACAAGAACATTTTTAAAATTTTTGCAGATAAAACTGTATCCTTTTGAAGTAGTCCTATGCATGAATAGGACTCGGAACATAATTGGTTATCATAATTGGAGCCTTTGGTGTAAAAAAGATGCAAGCCACAATTTTTCGTGAAGTGACTGTTTTAACTCAAAACATCTATTAATAAGGATACACATAACTAGTTCTCGCACTTGTAGCTTGCACATGTGATGCTGCCATCTTCAGAACTTTTTCTGATTTGATTTCTAACGCGCTAAAGTAGCATCTACCCTTTCCCTATCTTTCCATGGTGGACGTAGCTTCGTCTAAAATGCAAATGTCTCGCGCCAAAACTGACTTCTGGTCTATAGAAAATAACTCTTTAACGAGGTTTATTACTTGGGCCAAGACCGCAAGTGTAGGAAGGTATTTGACCCAATTCAATTTAGAGATCAAGGTGATCTCTTAACCCAAGGCCGGAACATGAGAATTAAAAAAATAAATACCTACTTAAAATAAACAGGGATGGTTCTAGTTAGCACTGGGAATTGAGTTCAATAATTAGAAAATTGAGATGACTTTTGGTGCATTTCCTAACTGATGCAAATTAATTAAATTACATGACTATTATGGATATAATAATGACTTATTAAACCAAAGCCATGTAGCATGGAAGTTGTATAAATGTGTGGTTACATAATGTTTGTAAATTTTAGGTGTAGTTAGGGCAAGGTAGAGGTAAAACGAATGTTATCTATTACATTAAAAGGTGCTGACTAAGACGGGAGATAGCTATTTTTGTCTAAAATCAGAAGCACAAGGGATTTCCCTATGACAACACCGACAATTACGACTACCATGCATACACTGTATAAGTTGCCAAACAGTGGAACGTATTTGGCACGCTTTTTTTTCTCTTTAATAAAGAGATGTCAGCTGAGACAGAAAACTCAGTACTATATCGAGCTTGGAGTCTGATTGTTGTTGTAAAAGGGTAATTCCAATAAATATGGGTATTGTTATTTTCCACTACTACTTCAATTTCGTCTAGGGTGCATGACAGAACTGATGTATCATCTGTACCATAGTGATATCTCAGATGTTAGTAGAGAACCCGCCATTATTGATGAGTTATTAACCTTGGTGGAGGTTTGAAACTTTAAAAAGCTTACGGTGATGGTTTACAATAAAGAAGACAGAATAACCGTGTACTATTTATTATTGATAATTTCTTGTAAAATCAAATTATTCAATTATTGATGAAGAATATTTTTTGTTCTAGAAAAACTCTTTTTTTGCAAACTAATTTATGTATATATTAGATAAAACCGTTATAATATCCACATTCCGCCATCTTGAACAGAATTTGCGATTGAATATTCAAAAAAAAGACGCTAATTTCGTTAAGGAAGCATCTAGTGCCGAGCAGAGATTTTAGATTATTTATTGTAGGTTTATATGTCATTAGAACTGTCATTTAACGTTATCTTTGTAGGCTACGCAGCCCAATAACAATTTTTGAACTTCCAAACATTTATATAGCTTTTTCGCATATTATGTTTTAATTGTTCTGGTGTCCTTGTTAACTTATTTACCGTTAATCTAACCTCTTAAGACATAGCACATTATTCTCTATTTGTCAATATTGTCACATCTTTTTGGTAACAGTTTTAGTGGAATATTATATCCCTTATAACTAGGTACCTGCCAGAAGTTAAATTGTTTATTATTTATGATTAATTTGTATCCTTTACGCATAACGTTGTCATTACAATTTTCTTCCAAGTACATAAAAATATATTTAGCGTCTATATAAAGGATGTACAATAAGCCTATTGGGGCTAAAGTGATGGTGGGAAACTCACCTTAGGGATATGATATAATGTTTATCAAGACTAGTACTTTTATTTCAATATTTGTCTTATTCATATTACTTTTTATTTACATTAAACCTATTTAAATATACAGTTTCTACATCAACAACAAACATGTGTATTTTATAGCCGAAGAAAATGTATCGAAATGTCTCTTAGAAAGAGATGACAGAATTCATACCTCCGTAGGTATTCAAAATAAAAGAATTTGATGCTTCTGAGAACTCGTCTAGTCTAAGAAACCTGTTTTCAGACCCATTCTTATCGTTCAGTTTATGAGAAATGGGCATGTCGGCGATGATGTAAATTCTAAATACCTACCTACCTTCTTACATACAAGGATTTAGGGCAGGTCCGGTAGTATTACGTACTTATAACCGATACAGGGTGAATAGGGAAACGGGGACCAAATTAAATTCAAACAAAAACTTCGACAAAATCAATGAACGCGTAGATAATGGGGATTAATGAGATTAATCTCCTCCATGAACAGTGACGGATTTAGGCTTGCTGCCGCCCTAGGCCCTGTTCGATCCGCCGCCCTTTTTGATAAAATGAATTTCATTAATTTTGATCCAATATTTTTATTTTAAAATAACTTTATTTATTGAAATATAATTTTTTAAATATAACTAATAAACATGATAAATAAATTATAAACTTTGGTCCGCGCAAAAACGTCGATTATATCGTCATAATTAATTTCTTAGGCTAGTTGAGCTTCAATAGACAGTAATGCAAGAGCATTAAGTCTATCTTGTCCTATGCTTGCGCCTAAATAGGTTTTTACCCTTTTTAGAGTGGAAAAAGATATTTCTCCTGAACAATTTGTAGCCAGAATACTCCAAAAAATACCGAGGGCAATGTCCACATCCGGATAAACATCTCGAAGACTTCGTAAATGCAATATATTGCATATTTTTTTTGTAGATAGTACATCTTCCGTATTTGCTAAGGAATCTTTGAGTTGACAATGCAAATAAATACATTTATTGCCTAACGTCTCTTCCAAATCGTCAGGATACTTACTGACTAGTTTATTGGCAAGATTTTCAATTCGTTTGTATCTATTCTGCCCTGCTAAGCTCAAACGTCCTATCCGACATGAGGATAGTTTTCAGATATTAATGATTTTCTGTTTTCATATTGTCCACTATGTAAATATTAAGATGAAAATAAATGTAAAAAACAAGCGCTCTATGTTGTAGTTAGGAGCAAAAACAATAATTGTTTGCATCACAAATATGCTTTTTTGGTTTATTTTGGTTTATGAGATAATAACCTCAAAATGCATACTCTAGAAACACGAAACACTGCCTCGTAATTAAAATATAACCTTGCTCTATGTTCTAACTTTACTAAGTAATAGGAGACAATGTCAATAGGCTCCTGCTTTACAACTTTTTATTTTTAAAGTGTTTTTTGTCAAAATGTAGTAAAAGTTCCTACCTTGATCTGACAGACTCACAAATAACGAACTAAATAATTTATTCTAACTCACTTTGCCTTTCCGCACTTCATAGTATCTAGCCGTCGGCGTCGTCTCTTATTGCCACGTTTCTTATTACAGGGCTCTCCCCTAGTGCTTTGTTTTTTTTTCTTCATATTCAGAAAATGGTCTGTCTCGCATATCTTGAAGAAATAGAGTCAGAGAACTATAGATCTGAACAACGAATTTAAAATCAGCTAGAGATTCTAGAAGCTTCTTA